TCATTCAGTAGAAACGAACTGGTTCGTCCGTCATGTTTACGTATAAGTAATAAGAATCAAAAAAAATGTATAAATGAATTATGTAAAATTATTTTTTAAAATGAATTTCTTTCTGATAAAAGATATTTTTATAGAATATTTGATTATATAGAATGTTCGTTTTAACACATTTATGCATTTATGTAAATGCATCATTATAGGAGTATTGTCAAAGAAATGTAAACGATGATGGTGAATGAAGTTTTGAAATGTTCGTATATTTTTCTTTCTTTGTTATTCTTTCTCAATGAGTAACGATAATGTCAAAGTAAAACATGTTGTTACTTTATTTGAAGAAGTTCAAAATCGTTATGTTAATAAATTATTAAGTATCAATGAAAAACATCTAACAAGTGATGAGCGATATAAAGTAAATAGATATTATGTTTTCTTTTTTAATTAATTAAAGTCATAAAATCAATATTTATTGTACAGTAAGACATTGTATAAAGTACTTGAGGCGGTTGTTCTTTTTGTTAGTGTATGAATGGGGCATAAAGAGATAAAAGTATCACTTTGGGGCACTTCAAATACACTTTTTCTTCGTGATGAAAGAACAGACATTTATTACTATCGTATTTAATGTTCATATATCAAAAATGTCATTACTACTGTAGAGTTACATCAACTGTAGTCTTTTTGTATATATAACTTTCATTTTATGAACAAATAAAAGCAATATGAAGTGCTTCCTTTATTTGATTGAAGAGACGTTAAATATTTACTGCCTATGTTTATAAGATTAATAATATATAATAGCATTGAATGGTTTCTTTCTAAAAATAAACTAACTTGATTAAAATTTTGTTAATTTATTAATAGCACAAAATTGTTATCTATGAAAGTTATATCAAAGATTTATCACTTCAAACACGTTTACTTTTACAAAGTCTTGAAGAACTCGAAAAAGAAGCTAATCAACGTGTAGGATTACTTGAAAATAAACTCAAAAAAGCACATGCATCCTTACAAGTATGAAATAGATTTATTATCTTCTTCTTCTTCTTCACTTTTTATCATTTCTAGCATTCTCTTCCAACAAACGATATATCTAAACCTATTGATGTAAGTACACAAATATTTCAAATTATGATGAAATGTTTTTTTAAAGAATTTTGAAACAGAAAAATGGAAAATAATACATGAAAATCTTGATCTTAAACATGATATGGATTGTTTAGTATCATTTATTAATATTGCTAAACGTACAGGTAAATGGAATACAAAACAACTTCAATTAAAAACACTTCCACTTGATAATATTATTGGTACAACGAATGATAAAATAAATCATCATTCAAGTTCATTACATAAAGAAATTCAATATCGCGATGAACATATGCAAGTTTTACAAGCTGAAATTCAATATCTTAGAAAAACACAAGCAGAATTATCAAAACCTATTTCAGCTATGAATGAAAATGAATTCAAAGAAAAGGTTTGTTTTTATTTAGTTAACGACAAGATTGTAACATTATATAAACCATAAAAAATATCTCAGTGAGTCTACTGAAAGCATTATAGGTCAAGGATATTAGTAAACCGAAACTGTTCATTCATAGATTCGAATATACTCAAAATACAAAGTATCGTTTTTCGATGATTAACATATCTGAAACAATCTTACGATATCAAGTTATATTTTTATTCATAACGTATTAGATTTAAAACTTACATGACGATAAATCAGCCTAATATTCTGCTATATGACAGCTTTTATAAGTTAATAATTATTGTAAATGATTTTTTTCTTCTTTAGAATCTTGTTCTTTCAAAAAAAACTGATGATCTTCGATCTAAATTAGCTGAAGAATGTCAAAAAACTGAAACGTTGAAAATGGATGTAAGTTTTATTCTTCTTCACTATATCGATAAAAAAAAATATCTGATTAGATACGCATAAAAACTACTGAATTAAAAGATCTTCAAGAAGATTTAAATAAAAAGAAACAACAATATGAAGAACATATTCATGATTTATCAACAAAATTAAAAACAATATCAGATCGTCATCGAGAATCAGCAACAATTATTAATAATGATAATAAAATAAAAAAACAAGAAATTGAACAATTAACAAAACAAGTAGAACAAATTGTTAATGAACGAAGTGAATTACATAGACAGGTTTTTCTATTATTTATTTATTGAAACAAATAAATATTAAAAAAGGATTTTATATTTAGTGTTGTGTAAAAGATACAATAATAGCTGATCTTCAAGTAAAAATTCATAATGTAGAACAACAGTTTATAATCAATAATCATCCAGTTACTCCTATTGAATTAACTGTATCAAAAAATGAATATGAAAAACTCAATCAAGAATTACATATAACACGAAAACAATTAGATGAAACTATGATTGAAGTAAATCGCTAAAAATTCAGTATACATATATTAGTGTCCTGCACGAGAATCAAAAACACCTTCTGTTCCTGGTAAAAGAGTTCTGTGTCCTTCCATCAATTTTGATGATAAAAATGGTTTGAATAGTACCTTTTGTAGAGAAATGTTCGCTCTTTCAGTCTATACACTTAGAAGTTTAGAATAATTCTTACCGAGCAAATCCTTGAGTTAACAAAAAAGTTCGAGAAAATGATTTTTCCGAACGTGATGTCGACTGATTTAATTAACTGGCAAGAAGTATTCTAAGCTTCCAAGTGCATAGACTAAAAGAGCGAATATTTCTCTATAAAGCCCACTATTCAATCCCTCTTTAGCATCAAAACTGGGGATTAGCGCAGAACGTTTTTACTGGAAACAGAAGACGTTTTTCGTTCCCGTGCAGGACTCTAATATATATTTAACTATGTTTCCTTTTGTCAAATTAAGATTAAAACAACAGATACATTAAATAATAAACTTGAACAAGATCTTCGTCTTTTTAAAAAATTTCATGATGAACAATTTGAACAACAGATTAAAACAAATGCATCGAATATTGATCAATTACAAAATCAAATTCAAACATTGAAACATAATTATCAAGAAAAATTAGATGAAGTAAGTTTTTTCTATAAATCTTGAGGGTGGGGTGGGTGTGGGTGGGTGTGTGAGTTTAGTGTGGATGGATGTGGGATGAATCAAATACACACCTTATACCCACACCCACATCTTCATATAATGATTAATCTCTAGTTGACAAACTAAAACCATTGAATAGAATACGAATTATAGATTTGTCTAATGCTTTCATATCTCGGTTACCAAAATTATTTTTAGGTTGACAAAAAATCGTTCGAATTACGTACATGTCAAGAACGTTTATCTATTGAATATAATAAAAATGAACAGGAACAACAACAATTACGTAATCTTCTCGAAAATTCTACTGAAAAATTAGAAAAATCTTATATAGATATAAAACAAAATACATTAAAAATTGATCAATTTGAAAAAACTATAAATGAATTAAATTCTCGTAATAATCTTCTTGAAAGAAAATTAATTGAAACAATGAGTTTAATTGATCAACGAAATAAAATATTAATCAATAATGAAGAAAAATTAGAGAAAATTCAAAATGATTTATTAGAAAAACACAAAGAAATTATGGATGGACAATCTCAAATTGAACAATTAAAACAAAATCTTATTAATAAAACAGCTGAAGTTACACAATTAACTGAAAAATTGGAAACAGATCTTGTTAAACATCAAGAAAAGGATAAATTAGCTGAAGATAATGCAACAAAATCATCAACTGATATTAAAATTTTACAACGAGAAGTAAAAATTATCTTTTTTTTTTAAAATAATTTTTAATTTTTTTGTTTCTAGCTTCGACATTTATCTGAATCTTTAGTTGAATATGAACGTAGAAATACAATATTAAATGAACAAGTTCAACAATTAACAAATGAACTTCGATTAAAACAAGAAGAATTTCAACAAATAGAAAAATCATTAAATCAAAAAGTAAAGAATGTTTTTCTTTTTTTCTAAAATATTAATTTCCTTTTTAATTATTCAAGTTATTAATAAAACAAGATCAACTTGTACAGTATGATAAAAATCTTCATGAAATCGATATACAATGTAAATATGCTAAAGAAGAATGTTTAATACAAGAAAAAGAAATCACACGTCTTAATATTGTTCAAGAAGAACAAGAAAATAAAATAAAAATTTTACAAGAAGATTTATTAAAATGTCAAGAACAGGTATATAATCATAAAATACTTTAATTTCTAGCAAAAACAAAGCCTCAGTTTTTCGGCACTCGAACGCAGTAAAAATATATTTCTTTGTTATTCGGGAAAATGACAGAATAGTCGATTTTCCACAAAATGAAGTGTCCCTGAGCTTTCTACGACCGTCCATTCAAAAACTATGATCATCGCGAAAATTCATTTGATGAAAAACTAGGGTTTATATTTTTTAAGGAATTAAGTTACATTCATTATCTTCCAGAATTCTTGTCGAAGATAATTTTCTCTATCCAAATTACATCCGGTTGAACAATTTTCACAGTCACTGTATGCGGAGACACATAGTAGACAAATCATTAATAGTTTCTCTGTTCATTTTTTTTATGAAAGCAAATTTAATGAATCATCCGGTAGACTGTTCGTTCGGATAATTTCATAGTTGAAGAGGAAGTTGACTCTAATGACATTTACTACAATGTCTATCTCTTGTAAACTATCGAACGAAAATGTTTTATGACAATTACTGATTGCTGTTGTGATCATTTATTCTATCGATATTGTATATGTAATTGTATAAAAGATTTTTCAAGGTTACTAGTCTTCACTTATAAATGCTTCAACTGACAAGGTTATTCTGCTTTCTCATTTGCAAGAAATCATAGAAGTGTCACCATTAATTTGCATAATTATTGTAATAAATTTGATTAAACATTTTTACAAAAGTAATGTTTGTGTGTGAGATGATGCAATTAACATTTTATTCGGAAACAAGAGATGTAATCTGACATGTTATGTAATTCTTAATTGAACATTATTAGTAGTCTAAGTTTTCATAATTCGAGGTCAAACATTCTTTTATACAAGCTCTTCTTTAAATTAGTTCTTATTAATCGATTTTATTTTATTTAAATAAGATATCGAGCTAGTCTTGAGTATAGAGGATAATTCATTATAATCAAGAATGGAAAAAAATAGATTGAAATTTCCTTGAAATGCTTTTTGAATGGGCAGGATGCTATAAGTACTGAAGGATTTTTGTCAAGCAAATGTTGATGATCGGTCTTACAGTTTACCTATAGGAAGAAGATGTTTAGCGATGTTTTTAATGATAATTTGAAATGAATATTTTGACTCGGTATCAACAGATTGATCTCAATTCTGGTAGATTTAGAACTATGAAAAATGTCACTGTATTTGCTTAATAAAAAACCTTGCAAAGTCTTATGACATGATAAATAAAGAGCAATTCTTTTTATTCTATAGAGAGATACAATTACTAATCAATACGAACGATGTGAAAGTGATTATCAAAATCTAAAATGTCATCGTGAAGATGAAAATCGACAATATAATCAAGAATTTGAAAAATTAAATAATGAACTTACTGCATTAAAGATTATTGAAATTACTTTATTAAAAAATATCGATGAATTAAAAGAAAATCTTTTAATTGTTTCAAATGATCGTGATGATATTCGAAAACAATATAGTAATTATCAATATGATTTAGAAAATATACAAAAGATCTTAGCTGATGAAACGGAATTAAATTTAAAATCTGAAACAAAAGTTATTTTATTAACTCGACAATTTGATGAAGAACAAAAACGTTCGAATGAATTTAAATATCAATTCAATGATATACAAATGCAATTAACAAGTGCTCGATTATCAAATGATACACTCAAAACTGAGCTTAATCAAGCTCGTTTACTTAATCAAGAATATACCATTAAAGTAATAATCATTTCGAAAATAAAACGATAATTTTTATATTTTTTTTTATAGGAAAAAGATTTTAAACAAAATATCAATCGAATAAATTCTTCATTAGATGAACAAAATAAATCATTGGATGAGCGTCAACGTGAAATTGAAACATTAAATCATCTTATGTCACATCTTCAAGAAGATTATGAAAAATCTAAGAATAATTTATCTATTGCACAAGATCGGATTGTTTATTTAGAAATAGAAAATGAAACAATAAAGCAACGTTGTATTGAAAAAACAAATGAATTAACTTTTATGACAAATCAGCTACAACAAAGTCAACAAGATTTTTATACATACGAAAAAGAACATCGATATTCTAATGAAGAATATTTTGAATATGAACAACAAAGAAAAAATTTTGATAATGAATTAACAACTGTTGTTCAGAATTATGAAAAACTTCAAAAAGAAAATGAAGTATTAAATGAACTTTTAAATAAATGTCGATGTGAATTAGAACAAAACGAAAAATCAAATATTGTTCATAAAGAACGAGTAAGTTACAAAAAAAAAAGAATCTATTGTACATGATTATCTTAATATAGCTAATGCAATCGACGGATGAAGTAAAAATTTATAAACAAAAATTAGCTTTACTTGGAGATTGTTTTAAAACAATTGTTCGCAAAGTAATTGATATTAGTTTTTTATAGACTCTTAAAATATAATCTTTTCAATAGGCTTCAGAATCAAGTGAGCAATGGGCAGATATTACTACACATCTGGACGAATATTTACTTGATTTAAATGATGATGTTGATAAACTTTATTTATTTGATGAACGTTTTGAACAATCGATAAAAATATCTACTCAATTACGAGGACAATATGAAGATTTAGTAGAACAGTTTTTATCACTTAAAACAAATGTTGAACGGTTACATTTTCATATACATAAATATAAACAAAAATGGTTACAAATGAGTGATGAAAATCGTCATTTACGTATAGAAACTAAACATTTACGTGATAAAATCGAAAATTTTCATCGAATACATACAAAAAATGATGAACAAGAAATTATTTTAGGACAATTACGTAAAGAATTAAAGTAAAGATTTTTTTCATATTTTTCCTACATCTATCTATCCCTATTTTAGCTATGAATCACAACTTCGCTTAGAAACTCAACGAACTATTGAACAACTAAAACATACATTAGATGAAACAATATTTGAACGTAATCAATTAATAAAAAATGTTACAATAGCTCATGAAAAAGTAATTATTAAATTTGTATTATAGATCATCAATAAGTAAAATTTTATTTTTCTTAGATTGAGAAATTTGAACATGGTATTTCTGAGTATACAAATGAAAATCGTTTATTACAAGAAACAATTCAAAAACTCGAAAAACAACTACATATACAAAATGAATCATTAGAACAAAATGAACAATATTATCAAGAAAAAGTAATAAATTATGAAATAAATCAAACTGAATATGCACATTTTATTTTAGATTAATGAATGTGAATCATTATTAATCTCATTGACAGAAACGAATAATAATTCATTACAATCATTAGAACATAAAAGTAGTGAATTGAATACAGCACGAACAGAAATACAAACATTAAAATATGAACAAACATCAACAGTTTCAAAGGTTTGATTTAACAAATATTATTTATATAGTTACGAATAAACTATTGAAAAAGCACACGAATTTGAAATCATAGAAAACTACTCTAATTGCTTTATCTAGTACAATTCATTTGTTCACAATGAATTAGTAGTATTCTCGGTTGGGGTACTTGTAAAAGACGCGAAGACCCATATCTTTTGCTGGTTAGATAGAGCTACTCGAGTAGTATATACCCTGAAAACTTTAGCCCTCTATTTACTTGCTATAAGAAAATATCCAGGACCACGCTTTATCAGTTACCAGAGGTTACACTATAAGATGAGTAAAAACTTTATAATAGAGAAAGTGTGGTCCTTGCTATTCTCTTACAGCAAGTACATGGAAAGCCGAAATTTTCAGGGTGTATACAACTCGAGTAGTTCTATCTAACCAGCAAAAGATATGGGTCTTCGTAGGTCTTCGTAGAGATAGCCCACAGAGCTCTATTTAGTAGTATTATTATTTTTCGATTTGGGGGTCTTCGCGTCTTTTACAAGTACCCTTCTCGGTTGTACTAGAGTTGTTATCACACCATATTGTTAGTGTAAAGCTGTATGAATCTATGTATACTTTGCGATCCTTAGATATAACAGCTTTTCATAGTATATTGAATTGTTTGATTGTATTTATTTTTAGTTGGAAAAATTTGAAGAAACTAATCAAGAATTTAAACAACATATATCTATATTGGAACGATCGATTGAAGAACATAAACAATTACTAAGAACACGTGAAAAAGAACTTGAACAAATCAAAGATGAATTTGAACATAAGATGTTAGATTCTACACCACTGAATCCTAATGTATATATTATCATTATCTTTTTTTTCCAATACGAAATATTTTATATGATTTTAGTGTGCGAAACAAGATACAGAAATAAGTGTTCTTCGTATGGAAAATGCATCATTAAATGAAGAATTACGATTAATACGAGAAAATCTTACTGATTATCATGAAGAACAAAGACGTGCAAGAAACGATTTCAATGCAACATTAAATTTAATACAAGATAGTAATTCAGATATTTGGTAAAACTAATGCAAAATCTTCATCTGCTTTGTATTGTACTTTCTTACACTAGTCATTTAATCACATTGCTTAACTCTGTGCATGTATATATAAATATTGTATCAGATACTCTTCTTCTCTTTAGAATCTCATGATAAATATATGTTTCTGTGTGAATATAAATTTCTTCAAGTAGATTTGTCATGTATGATGTTATGATTCGTAGAAAAAAATCAAATATTTTGATTTATCTAGTTTGAACAGTGACAATAATAATAATTCAAATGAAATATTACAAACATGTATTGTGCAACATGTCATAGATGATACAGAAAATTTAAAATTAAATGATTCATTATGGTTTCCACTTGTTCAAGATGGTTTTACATATGAATTTAATGATCCTTCGAATAATCAAAAAAAATATAAAGTAATTTTTATAAATCAATTTTTTATTCATATAATTTTTTTCTCATAGTTAATGAAAGCATATTCAAAACAACAACAAGTATTACTCAATCAACTTCAAGCTCATGTGAAATTTTATGAGTAACTTAATATTTATCATTAATAAAAATGATTTCATATTATTTTTTGCATATAGATCTATTTTCGAGCAACGTTATTTACCAGCTATACAATATTCAACAACATCTGATATTATCGATAATAATTCTCAATGTAATAAGGACTCATTATAATAGATTAGTTTTTTTTGTATTCGATTTAATAAAGTGCTAACATATTATTTTCTTTTTCATGTATATGGGTGATGTCCGAGGACATTTTCATTAGCCCGATATTTTTCCTACAGTTATTTCTAGCTGGTCTGACTCAGAGTTCTCCCGTTTAATTACTTAAGCTCCCCGTATATACTATGTATGTCAACTATTGAGAAAAACAGTGAGATGATCATTCATCAATCGATTTCTCTGATGTTCATTTTATTTCTTTGTTGTTATCAGAAAAGAAAGAAACAGATGGCGTCAAAATGACATTCATTCATTTGTTCAACTCTCTCTTTTTTCTTCCGATTAAGAAGGTGTCAATCTTTTTGACCTCTATTATTGAATTTGAATATTTTCAAGAACAAGATCTTGTCCTATTAAAATAACATTGTAAATAATCCATTTATCGAAAATGGCTCGTCCATCATCATCGGATATTGTTGATGTGTGAAAATGAACTATCGATTTCATATATATTCACCTCTGTCTTAACCATTGAAAATATGAGTGACACATCTATTCGATTCGGTAATCAATTAGAAAGAGGAAAAATGTTAGACAATAGAATGATTGGCTTAATAGAAATATATATTCATATATAAATCGATTGAATCAATCGATAGATACATAAACATACTCAATTGAACATGTCAGGTAAGAATATATTTTAATACAAACGATCAATTCTTATTTTCTTATTATTTTAGTCTTTCAACATAAACATATTCAAGTATCTTGTCAAGGAATAAATAAATCTATATCAAATTTTAATCATTTAACTACAGTTGCTGATATTATTCATGCATTACTTAATGATCTATCTGAAAATGATTATTTAACTATAAATGATTGTTGTTTATATATTGAACAACAACCATATTTATATGCTTTAAAACCTACAGATTTTATTCAAGATATTCTTTCTAATTATTCAACATTAGATATTCATTTTAAACTAGCATTTAAACGTACTTCTTCACCATCACGTTTAGCTCAACGTAAAAAACTTGTTCGTACATCAATACAACAACCCACATCAGTAATAAATCCATATGAACAATTAAGAATACAAGAATTATTAATACAAAAACAACAAGAAATAATTAATCAATTAACAAAATCAAATGCTGAAAATAGGTTTGTTATTATCTATTTGAAAGTTTTCTTAATTTAAGAAATTATAATTTTAGAATATCGAATGTAAATACAAGACAATCACGTCAAGATGAATATTATCAAGCTGTTAATCGTGAAGATACAAGTCGATCATTATCACGCGTACGATTTCGTCTATCAACAGTAACTCGAAAACATGAAATATCATCACCATCAACAATCGAAGTGAAAAGTATTTTAAAAAAATCATCAATTCAACGAAGTTCAAGTGTTGATCGTGATATTGATCAATTAATATTACTTCAACCAGGAGAAAATAGTTTTTGTACATCCGATGATGATAATCTATCTGAACAAAGTACAACAGATTCATGTTTAGGTTCACTATCATCAAATGAAAGTGTTTATCATTGTCATTCTCTAGAAACACTTGTATGATTTATTTTGTTTTGCTTTCATAAACTTTATGTCTCAAACCGTGATAATTGACAATAAACTGTTGATTTTTAAGACTCGATGTGTGTTCATAATAGATATATTATATCAAATACATGTTAATGTGTCGCATATTTATTTGATCTAATCAAAATTGGTATATGCATAATTTTTCACTGACATCCATATATAAATAAAGAGAGTAGACTATGATATATAGTCACGCATTGTTGTTTATTTTTCATGAATTAAAATAGTGTGAATAAATTGACATTTTTATAAAGGGTAAATTACGTTATGATTTTAAAACTGATTGCTCTTTATATTGTAAATGCTAGCATCTCGTGTGTAATAATCGAGAATAGGGAAGTAAAGCGAGTATTGCAGGCACGCACCTAGAAATTTTTCCCGGAGGAGAGGATTAATCCCCCTTCTGGGTTCGTCACTGGAGTATTTAATAGTTGTTTGTGATTACTATTGATGTGCATGACATTTTCTACTATGTATATGATGCAATAAAACTTTGTCTATTTTAATTGTTCACAGTATATTTTGTTTTTCCTATTACAACGAAGATTCATTATGATCTGTTTTTAAGAAGAGTACATTAACAGTTTTAGGTGATCTACATCAAACTGCTATAATTTTATTCGATGTTCATTTTTAATAATTAGTTTTTTGACAAATCAATTCAAATGAGAGTAATATGAGACAGAAAAATACATTCTTTCTAATTTATACCGTTAGATGGGTCATTAAGATCTATTAGACTATTTCAAAAAATTTAGTTAAAAGATTTTATCATAAATAAGAAATTTTCTGTTATAGTTAAATACATCGTTACTTTTAGTTTGACATATACGTGGGGAGTACACTGAAGGTGTACGTCATTTGTACATAGATATTTATCAACTTCATTATAAACAATTAATGTTGATCTGTCTAGACGATGAGTTTGAGGTTTTGGAATTTTTCAATTCATTAGTTACGCTCTCTGATTTTACCATATCGAGCTTGCAATTTGTACAGGACTCAAATATAATCATAACTAATGTTATGATATTCATAACAGTAACGCATAAGTCATCTAACTAAGCAAATCTCTTTATCTATTCACCAGATAGTTACGACGTTCCTTTAGTTCGAATTCTTGAAATATATTCCGTATAATACATAACATTAACAAGCTCTAAATTAGAATAGAATGTATAATTGCATTTGTATTTCTTTCGTTAATAACAAACACATGTATATATATATATATCAAAGAACGATTAAACACAAAACATTTATATACAGACATATCGATTATCTAATACTAGTTAAATACATATTCAAAAAAATTCACATCAAAATACAACTTCATCGATGTAAAAACAATAAATACATAACAAAACAAATTTGCATAACGAAAACGAAAAAACAAAAGGAAATCTTATGCAGATATGTCGTATGAATTCAGTTAATTACTCTAATGAATAAAAATAAGGTGTTTTCATTCGAAGATAACGACGTACACATAAATACATACTAGAAAAAAAATAACATACATTGTATTCATCTTTTAATGATTCTACTTACATTCCCATGCCAAGTATAAAACTTGCACAATTACTTAAAATAACATAACGTAGATGTTTTTTTTTAACTAATTTTTTTTCTTCTTCATTATCAATATTTTGATTTATTGGATGAATAAATTTCCATTCTCTTTTAAAATTAAATATATAAGAAGTTAAAAAAATAAAATTTAAATATTTTACTTTGGCGGTTCAGCTTCAATACGTGATGACCAAAATGATACCCAATCAGCAGCAGTTTGAACTGGACTCTTTGGAGTTTTAGGTGATGAACTAGAATTTTAGTTGTATTTCTCTATTTGAAAAAACATACAATAAGAATTATTTACCTATCACTATGTGAACTTTTTGAACTAGTACGAGATGATTCTTTTTGTGCTTCTAATAATAAATTTTCATTAATATCCATATTTGGTACAAACTCTTGATCATTGATAGTACTCATCGTATTCGATGGTGCTTCAATATCAATCCAAAAATCTAAAAATATATCATAAATATAAAGAAATAAATAAATTTCTTTTAATTTTACCTGTAGTTGTCTGTTGCATCGATTTATTCATCGTTAGGTTTGATATACAAGTTACTTTTTGTCAGAGCGTTTTTTATGCGTTCAATTATAACACATCACGTGTGAACTTGTGAATAAGTAACATCAACATATATTGATGTAGATTGTAACGCTATTGAATAGATACATTGAAAATCGAATAAAAATGATAGATAGAGGACGTTGCTTGACATCATTTATTAAATATGGTAGATCGTTTCTATAGATTTTAAACAAAAACTTAAAATTTTTATATGATTAAATTTTTAAAGTGTTAATAAAGACGTCAAACAATAATTAAGGTAAGTTTTCCGAGAAAATTATACGTAACATACGTTATTTCTACTATTATTATAAATTTTAAATAAGATACTGTTTCAATACTTGAATAAGCATATGAGATATGTCGCTGCTATCAAATAATTAATTTCTTAATAAAATATACTGATCTATATGAATTACAACAATATACAAAAAAAAGGATTCTATAAAACGCTTACAACCAGTAAACTTAAATCTTATGAAAAAAGCGCCAATATCAATTTGGGTCAGGTATGTCATCTAAGAATATGATTGGTGTCTTGTTTTATATGAAGAGATTGTGCATTATCATATTTGTTGAATGTTAAAAGGTCACATTATATTTTTCAAAATGTATGCTGTACTGTTTTTTAATTACAAACGATTGAGACTTCAAGCATACTCATAAATTTCTATTTTAGAATAGGTATTCAAAAGAATATTCTATGGTGATAATAACCTTGAGATATGTTTGTAGAAAATATTTTATTCATCATGACGGAAATAATTATACGTTTCATATAGAATTGTAAGTTTTGTTTCTAAGATACTCTATAGAACATCAGACGGAAATATTCGATTGTAAATAATAGATGAGAGAAAAAAATATATATATCTGTTGTTTTTTTTGTAATGAAAAAAACAGTAGTGAAGAGAAGAAAAAAAGAAATGGTAAAATAAAATGCATGTCAATGCTGAAAGGAACGATTAAGATGAGAAGAATGACGTGAGAACTTCTTTTTTTTCACTTTTACTCTCTTGATCTGACTTTAAAACTGATGGTTGGTAAGTCAACTTTTCTTGTCGATTATCCGAATAAAGATACATGATTACATCATTTGTCTTGAAAATATCTTCTTATATAAGTTCAAATTCTCCCTTCAGCATATTTTTTATTTATGTAAATTTTATAAGATAGAAGACATATTAATTTCAACACAACTGTAGTTATTTATATCGAATGCTTCAGGTTTTAATTGCAACATGATATTAAATTTCACATAGTAACTATTTGCGAAGGTGTGATGGCGTAGGAGTTTCAACAGATGGTTATTAATCTAAAAAATACTATCGAAAGTTCAATCAAGTTGCATTATAGTCAATGATATATGCAATTATCTTTCCATATAATTCTACATGATGTTTTATTTGTATTGAATGAATTCTTACAATAAAAAATTTTAATCATACATAAAATAATCAAGAAATCTTATAAAAACTAATTTAATTGAAACAAAACTAGAAGTAGAAGTTCTTTTTACTCTTCAATCGAAAAGTAGTGAAGAGAAATCACTTATATTATTTGCAAAACGAACATAGAAAAACTTTCATAATTTATAACTTGAGCAAGTTTATTTATAAATCATTTACATATTATTGAATTGAGTGAAATTTATTTTATTTTAGATGTACGAGGAAAAAAAAGCTATCTGATTAAATCCTATTGGATAGTTTTAGACTGAACATGGCAACAAATTCTTATGGAGAACACGGCAGTCAAAGTGCTGCTAATTATATAAATAAAAAAGGCATTAACGAGTTGTTTGAGGTAAACTTTTTTCTTTTTGATATAAATAGAATTGATTCACCTTACTCTCTTTCTTTGTAAGGGTATAATGACGGCTCTAATGGTTCATAAACCCGATGATCATATAACATTCATGCGTAAATGTTTAGACAAAGTTGATGTATAATTCTATTCTAAATTTTTCTTTATTTAATCAATAATAATTTCTAGGCAGAAAATCATCCAGATCGAATTAGTGGGGATTTTTTTATAACAAAATCATCATGTTCATTATTACCTCCTATTCATTCAAAACTAAATGAAAGTTCTTCATTCGATCCGCAATTAGTTTTACCACGGATCGAACATACGAAAACAAATTCGTCGCATAAACCTCTTATATTTATTCTAAGTAAAATTTTCTTTTTTAAACTAATCAAAAAAAAATATCTTGTTCACAAAAAAGGTTCATCAAATTCGTTGAAATTATGCTCAAGATTACTTGAACGTTATCATCAAATAAATTATGTCTCAATTAATGATCAAAGTAAATATCGATATGATAGTATTCAACATGAGATAGAACAATATTATTCACAATCAAATGGTTTTCTTATTACTGGTGACATAGACGAACAAAATTTTCTTCGACAATGGCAAGATAAAGTAAATTCTTCTAAATATTTATATAAAATGTAATCAATATTTTTATAGCTCGGTCGAATCAGTTTAATCCTTATCTTATCATCGAATACTAATCATAAAATATCAAATCAAACTTCGAAGATTATTCAGGTAAAACTAAATTTATTTTCTTGTTTATATTAAAATAAGTTTAATAATTTTTAGATCGATTCTACTAAGAATTTTAATGATATCCTTGCGTCTATGATACATTATCTAGATAAATTATTTCTTCAGGATACATTTTTTAATCAACGCTTTTCAACAATGTCAATAGAAATAGATCATTTCCATTTACCCATATTCTTTTGTATTGATAATCATCGTATTGCAACAAAAGCAAATACTGAAGAAGATTTATCATTTGATAATGAATTTGAAATGGGAGATGAGGAAAATAATAATTCATTTATATACACATTATGTCAACATTTAGTCGAACAATTTTCATTTAAATATATATCTTATGGAGATTTAAATAAAAAAATTTCGAATTACGAACAATTAAAAAAGGAAATTATTGAATCAAGGGATATATGTTCTGGTTATATTATTGATTATTTTCCAACTTCATTGAATGATCTACGAAGATTTTATTCCGAGGTAAAAATTTATTTGTATATAATAATTCTCATTCTTTCTTTTGTAGATTGGTCCTTGTTCAGCATTGATTTATATTGGTGATTATCGAACAGGAATAGAATCTACTGAAGTTGATACAATTATTCAAAAGTTCGAACAAAATAAAAAAGCTCTTCATGTTAGTGAGAAAAATTGGTTTTTACTTCTTATTTTATTATGTCTTTTCAGGTTGATTGTCGTATGGAAGTTGATGAAATTTATGAAGATTTTAAAAGTGAAATATTAAAATATATCTAATTTATATATATATTTGCAATAAGTCTTTTTTTGTTGTGATATTTTTCAATATTCATTCGAATCAAAAATGTGCAGTCTAGTGAAACCCTATATCTTTTTCATTTTAATCTCTTTTTTCCTACAATCTTGTTAGTCATGCTATAAGAACAATATTTTTTGCTTTAGTTCTGTTTTTTTCTTACATTTAATGTATTAAAAAAGTCAATGTGAATAATTTTGATGATCTTACAAAACTCTTATTTTTCAGATTTATTATTTTTCAGTCATGTCTCAATCAAATAAAGATGCTACTCCGGAATTGGCGAAAGATTATATTTCTAAACGGAAGATTCCTCAATTATTTGAGGTAAATTTTAATTGAAAAAAGATGTATTTATATAATTCTTTTTAGGCATTAATGACTGGACTTATGGTGAATAAACCTGAAGATCATATTGACTTTCTTATAGAATCTCTTTCACGAGTAAAACTATCATCAATAAGCGTAAAATATTATTTTTCTTTTATTGTAGTGTAAGGGTAACAAACAATCATTAAAATGGGATACGTTTGTTGGACAAAAAGGTGATGGAAAGAATAAATTACCTCCAATTGATATATCTACTACTTCTGAATCGAAATTGAATAATCAAACAAAACTCAATCCTATTTCTAATGGTAAACAAGATGAAAAGCCAAAATCTGAATTGCCAACATTTCCAGTACATCAGGTACCAGCGAAACCTGATGCTCAACAACCTCCACCAAAACCTGAACAGAATATATCTGCAAAACCAGTTGAACAGTCTTCTGCACCAAAACTTGAACAACATGCACCTGCAAAATCTGATGCTCAGCCACATCCTGAACAGCATGCGCCTGCAAAACCTGATGCTCAGTCACATCCTGAACAGCATGCGGCTGTAAAAACTGACGTTCATCCACCTGCAGTACAACAGGCTCCTGCAAAACCTGATGCTCAGCCACATCCTGAACAGCATGCGTCTGTAAAAACTGATGCTCAACCACCAGCCGTACAACAGGCTCCTGTAAAATCTGATGATCAACCTCACTCTGAACAGCATGCGCCTGTAAAAACTGATGCTCAACCAAAACCTGAACAACATGCAGATGTAAAAAATAACGACAATGCAAATAAAGATCTCCTTAAAGGAAAACCACTAATTTTCGTTGGCGGTGGACCAGGTACTAAAAGACATTATCTTATAAATAGAATATAGTATTTATATATAATAGGTAGTGGTAAAAGAACACAATGTCAGAAAATGGTTGAAAAATATGGTTTCACACATTTATCAGCTGGTGATATTATTCGTGCAGCTTCAAAAGATACATCAACAGAAAAAGGTCGTAATTTCAATGAGGCTATGCTACAAGGAAAACTTATATCAACAGTAATTTAATTATAAAGCAGAATGCATTATTATTATTATCATGTTTTTTGTATCTAGGAAGATATTCTTGGATTAATTAAAGATGCTATTTATCATGAAGCTAAAAAGGCTTCAGGCTTTTTAATCGATGGATTTCCTCGTCGAATTGAACAAGGTAAGAAAGAATTTAGATGAGAATAAAACATTCTTAATTGATATTATATCAGGTATGCAATTCGAAAAAGATATAGCTGAATGTAATGTACTGATTTATTTCGATGTTCCTGAGGACGTAATGGCTAAACGATTAGTAAAACGTGGAGAAAGTAGTGGTCGAATAGATGACAATGATCAAGTAATTGCAAAGCGTTTACTAACATTTCGTGAAGAAACACAACCTATTCTGGGTTATTATGGCAAACAAGGAAAGTTAATTACTATTGAAGCTAACCGACAAATAGAGGAAGTATCTGATGATTTATCAAAAGCATTCGAAGGATTAATGGCACAACAACAAGTAGGTAAATAACTAGAATTCGTCTTTTATATACATTTTTTTATTTGTATGTGAAGTATTCACTTTTGATATTTGAATTGAAATCATCAGGCAAAAGGTATTTTTGTAATTTTCTTACACTTAATAAGATTAATCTCAATGAGACATGTTCAGAGTTAAAAACAATGTAACTAAAATTTTCAAACTATTTGTTTTAATTTCCTGATTAGTATATCATATTTGTGTCAGATATAAGTCTGGATACTCTTCGAACTAGTTATAAACATGTACTCGTTCATTTTTTAGTTATTCCACATAAACCCAATATGGACAAATTAAAAAATAAGAAGATTATTTTTGTTGTGGGTGGACCAGGTAAATTTTGATTTAATCTCTATGAAACAAATAAGAATTATTATTATTATCATAGGGTCAGGTAAAGGTACACAATGTGAACGAATTGTACAAAAATATGGTTATACACATTTGAGTACTGGGTATGTTTATATATACGAACGAAAAAACATTTTTTAAATGATTAATTATAGTGATCTTCTTCGTGAAACAGTTCAATCGAAAAGTGAACGAGGTGAACAATTGAATGCCTTGATGAAAGAAGGAAAATTAGTACCTATGGTATACTATTACTTTCTGTTATCTGGAAGAAAAAAAACATTTTTCTTCTTTTAATTAGGAAGTCGTACTTGATTTACTTCGAGAAAATATGCTTGAAAAAGCTGAAAACTCTAAAGGTTATCTTATTGATGGTTATCCACGTGAAGTTCCTCAGGCAAGAAAATTCGAAGAAATGGTTCGTTAATCTTGTTTTTTTTCAAAAACTCAAAATTATTCGATTACTTTTATATTATAGATTGCTCCATGCAATCTTGTCTTATATGTAAGAGCAAGTGATGAAACAATGACAAAACGATTATTACATCGTGGTCAAACATCAGGACGAGTTGATGATAATGAAGAAACAATTAAAAAACGTTTGAAAACATTTCATGATCAAACAATACCTGTATTAGATTTATATGAACGAAAAAATAAATTAGCTGAAGTAATCTCATCAAAATATTAATATTCTTTTAAATTTCTTTTTTTTAAATTTAATTTAGGTTAATTCTGAATTACCACCCGATGAAGTTTTCAAAGAAGTTCAAGAAGCACTTGACAAACTTGTTTAAAATCAACTATGAATCTCATTTTTATTTTTATTGACAATGAAAACAATTATTATCTCATGTGTGCTTTTGAATGTGAATTAACCTAACGGTTTTGTTTATATCATATTTTTCTATTACTTTGCTTCTTTGATTACATTTCATTATTAAACAACTATAATCAGTGAATGCCTTCATTTTAAGTATATACACAACGCAGACGATGTTTTAAATATTTATAAAGATAAATACCAAGAGCAGTAGAGATGATTAGCTTTATTTTCTTTACAATTCGTCTTTTAATACCATAAAACATTCTTTTTTCTTTACAATAAATGACGTACTGTTAGAAGATTAGAAAATATGAGAAGAAGAATTTTCAGAATGTGCACCATGTTCACTTTTGCTATAAATAGCTTTTCTCACTCATGATAGTACGTCATAAACTTCCACATGATCTGTCGACGTTACCTCACGGATGTTCATGTCATTGTTGGTTGAACACGGCTGGAAACCAGACGTTTGTATTTTAATATAACATCCATTACTGGTTGCGAGAATTTAAAAATAGCAATCATAATTAATATTTGAGATAGATCAACTAGGAATATAGCAATACGTAAGTGATATTTTGGAGGTTTAGTTACAAATGATATCAATATAAATATAACATATGGAAAACCAAGTGTTAACAAAATCATTATAATAATAATAATACGACGTACAACTACTAGATCTCGTCGAGCCTGAAACATTGTTTGAGTTGATGTAGCACGAGTGCTCATTTCTCGCACATATCTTACAAGTTTAATATAAATCAGAACTATGATTGATATAGGAATTAAATAAACAAAAAGCATATTATAAATCACAGGAACAGATAAATGAGCAATTACAAAGCAAACCTGATCATCGAAACTGTATGTTATGGCACCAGTAAATAACCATGGTAGAAACAAAATGATAGAAAGGATCCAAGAAATGACTATTAATGCAATCTGAACTCGAGTCGATTGCCATGAAACATGGGCTGTATGAACAACTGTAATATACCGATAAATAGCTTGTAAAGTGAACGAATAAAGATATATTGCTGTTCCTACAAAAGCTAAGTAGCCACGAAAAGTACAAAGTGCATCTTGATAAACTAATTGTTTTGTATCATTTTGGAATGTAAATACAGCTAAACTTAGTGTAATAGATCCATAAACAATTTCTGCAAGAGATGAATTAGTTGTAAGCATTATTGGTACAGTAT